TGACTGAAAGTCTTGGGCAGGTTTTCAACCAACCTGGTTTCTCCATTCTGTCTATTTATTCCGGAAAGGGGGGGGGTAGGGAAGTGAGTGGTAACAGCTAGAGCTTGGTGCTGTGTGTCTGTGTCTGTGTCTGTGGACATGCATGCCAGTTCAGGTCAGATCACAGAAGACTTGAGTTTAGACACCTAGGCTTTATTTAGGCAGCAATGGAGAACCACAGAAGGCCCTGGGCAGCCATGGGCAGTGAGTGAACACCTCAGAGAACATGGCACACGGCTCACAGCACATGGCAAGCACTCTTCACCCTGTTCTGTTATCGCTGAGCCAGAGGCTGAGTCAGCACATCTTGAGGAAGTTGTGGGTGATTTTGAGGCATGGCCAAAATCATGAATCCCCCAGGCTACAGCATTGGCCCCTTGAGTCCAGAAATAGCCTTGAGGGTTCTAGAGCCTCAGCCTAGAACCTGGAACCCAGTCAGCAACTGCTGTGTTTGTGAGGTCTAGCTGCAGGAGGGATGAGCAGGTGCCAGCAAGGATTAGAAGCAAGGACATTGCCACTGGGCCAGGCAATGAAGAAGGGAAGACACTGGGGCTTATTCATGGGCTAAGGGCGCTAGGGAGGGCTCCAGGTGACTCCTAGGGTAGCCTGGGTTGTTCAGCAGTCTGCACAGGATAGAGCCAGCTAGAAGCTGCCGAAAGAGGCTGGGAAATTGAAGGATAAGAGGAGAGTCTGGGGTAAACTGCCAGGAGTGTGGGGGAGGCGGTGGGAGTGTTGTCTACCCTGACTAAGGACACAATTATTTTTGTCTTGTTTTGTGTGGAGGGTCTCATATAGCCCAAGCTGGCCTCGAACTTGATAAATAGCCAAGGATATCTTGAACTTGTGATCCTCTTGTCTCTCTACCTCTTGAGTGATGGGATTAGAGGTGTCATGTGCCACCACACTTAGTAGATGGGGTGCTGGGAATCAGGGTTTTGTGCATGCTAGGCAGGCAGTCTAGCAACTGAGCCACATCCTCAGACCCATGCGGGGGGAAGTTTCAAGAGCTGCTGCTGTGAAGAAGGACGGGGTGCTAGCCAAGGGGACAGGTTGGGGTGCACCCACAACCGGGATGTGAAAGGCATGGGATGCCTGGTGGAGGCAGATGCCGGGAAGAGGCTGACCTTTTGCAGAATCCTTATGAGGAGAGGAGAGCTTCCCTTGGGGATTTGTGAGGGGTGTGATGGCTGTGAATGTGGCTGGGAAGCCCCTGTGAATTTGGGTTGGGCGGCCTCCTGGAAAGGCTGGTCTATGGCTGGAATAGGTGGGGGCTGTGCAGGACAGGAGCCTCACCTTGCTGGCTCCCTGGCTGGAACTGGTGGCCCAGGGGGCTGGGCTTGGGCTGAGCTGTGGGAAGCTGCTCCTGGGCGTGAGGCCCATCCTGTGACCCAGCAAACCTCAGCCTCCAGGAAAGACTAAATGTAAGGCTGTGGTAGAAAAGGGAGGATGTGTGTGTGCGCCTGAAGCCCAGAGGAAAATGTGAACCAGTTGTGAGCTGCCATGACACATGCTTCCCGCATCAGTGGCTACTGGGATCCTGTGCTCTTGTCACCCTGCCTCCCTCCAGGCCAGAAAGAGAGCAAATGACCTAGAGATGCTCAGAGGGGCAAGAGCTCTTTTGATGCAGCCCCTGCTCCCCAAGAAAGTTACTCTGGCCTTACAGCCACAGCTTTAGGGCAGGGGCAGAGGGGTTCCAAGCTTCCTGTGTCCTGGCTCTAGACTTCCGAGGATGTCCTTGGCATCATGGCTGCCCAGCTGCATGTGGAAAAATGGAAAAGTCAGGGAAAGCTTCCTGGAGGCAGAGGCAAATGTCAAGCTGTAAAAACACTGAATGGGGACTGACCAGCTGGAAGGTTCTATGGATTTTGATACAACTTCCTCTCCTGAAAGAGTGGTCTCTTTACTTCAGACCATGCCCTTTTTTTGGCAGTGGGTGGACAGCCACAGCCTCAGGATGGGGAGGAGGGGTTAATTTCCTTACCCGCTCCTGATTACCCATCCTAATTTACCCAACACCGAAGCTGTCATTGTTGTGGTCCCAGAGCTGACTCACCACGACCTGTGCCCTACCCATGGCCACCCATCAAACTGAACATCCTCCCCACCCACACGGTCTCTGGGGACCAGCTCTGGGCCCTGAGCTAGGGGATAGCGACAAAGCAGGAAGAGGCTGGGTGGCAAGAGAGCCTCGGCTTTTCACCACAAACCTAGTGACTGGAGGAATCTGCCTTTGGTCTTTCACCTGTCTCTAGACACTGGAATTTTCAAGATGATTAGCATATTTGGCATGCTAATGAGTTGACTGACAGTCCTGACCCCAGGGAGCCTCCGTGTAGAAGCTGGTCACTGAGGGCCCAGGCAGGGTTGGAACGTTGATCACCGCTGGCCAAGAGTTCAGCGAGTCAGGTCTGTGTGACAGCCTCCGAAAAATCCCAAAGGGCTGGACAGCTGGCCGCTGGGAGGTGAGGCGGCCCTGTGCCACTCCCCAAGTGTCTCAGCGAAGGCATTGTTCTACGTGTATTCTGTCACAGACTGTGTGTGTGTGTGTGTGTGTGTGTGTGTGTGTGTGTGTGTGTGTGTGCGCGCGCGCGCGCGCACGCACTCTAAGTTCTGTGAGCTGTGTTAGCAAATGAATTGAATTTGGGAGTGTGGGAATCTCACAGGACAGCCTGGGGCTTATGATGGGCACCTGCAATGGGGAGCAGCTTGGGACTGCTTCACCCTGGAGGGGTCTGATGCTTCCTCAGGTGGATATTGTCAGAGCCGAAGTGATTGTTTCCTCCCGTCGTCCTATCTGTTACAGACACCATGGCTTGTGTGTTGTGGGACCCCTGCCTGGACATTTGCTCCCAGAGGCCATCTATTATGAGAGTACGCTGACAGAAACAAAGTTTGTTTTTTTCCCTTCAGTATTTCAAGAGCTGAGGTCCCAGCCGCTGATGTGCAGAGCCGAGGCGCGCTGCGGCAGTGGTCCCTCCTCTCAGGTTTACTTTACTCATGTGCGTGGTGGAGGTGGCAACTTGAACACCAGGCAAAGGGCCTTGAGAGCCTTTCCATACCAGGATTTACCAGGGAGCAATTGCTAAGGATATAAGTCAGGAGCTCACCCATGACCCTGTGTGTCTTCCCCCATTGAACTAACTCATCCTGTGCCATCTTTGGGAGGGTGCTAATATCAGAATGGACCAGGAAGCGCTGGACTTTGGCTGAGGTGGTAGGAGGGAGAGGAATGAGGCAGGACTGAGACTCTTCAAGGAGTCACAGGATTACTGCAGTGAGCCTCGGGCCAGGGTAAAAGAGGCATTTGGAGTGGGAAGCAGGCACTAGGTAGTTTGGGAGGGGGAGCTGTCAACCAAGAAGTGACGTGGGAAGGCAGGGTAGCTGTGGACCTGTTTGTTGTCTGTGACGAGCCACACGTGACAGTGGCTGAGAGAGAGCCACTGGCTCAGGAGAGAGAACAGGCTTTGGCTGGGAGGTGAGTATGGGTGATTCCCCAGGGTTGAACCCGTTGGTGCTGCCTCTTGGCCTCTGCGGCTGGTCAGGGCACCTCTGGTCCCATGTAGTGACCCTGGCCATCCGCAGGCCTAGCTCCTACTACCCAACTTTGTGGCAAGGGCATTGCCCCATTAGACCTTGATTATTAAGTCATTAGCTGGGCCTCGCACTGCCTCTTCATTAGGGTAATTATGGAGCATCCACTCAGGGAATTAGAGAGGAGGCTGCTTTCTTCCGGCTGTCAGGCTGCCAGCCACCAGCCAGGCCTGGTCCTCCAGCCAGGGAGATGGCCCAGCCTCCCAGCAGGGTCTGGAGAGGGACAATGACACTTGGTGCCCCACCCCATCTACCATACAAAACCCAGACGCAGTGCTCAGCAATCTCTGTCTCCACTTTCCATGTTGGTAACTCTGAGACTATGGCCCAGTCTCCTGCACCTCAGTGTCCTCATCTGTCTGGTGGGATAACTGTGGGAGTCTCACAGGGCTAGATGAGTAACCCAGCAGCACAAACTGCACATCTCAGTAATGCTGTTATTGTCAGAGGAAGCTCTAGGGTCCCCAAGGGCCTCCACTTTCTGTGCAGGCAGCTGTTGACGGGAAGGCGTCGCCTCTTCCTCTTCTCTTCCTAACCCCTTCTCTGTGGTAAAGGACTGCGGCCTAGTGTCGGTCTGTCCACAGAGATAACCCGGTGGGGTCTGGGGCTGAGCTGCTAGGGTTGTGCTAACTCTGGGTACTTGGCTAAGAGCTACGGAAGTGATCTGGGGTCAGTCACCCCCACGCAGCCATGGCTCTGTCTGTCAGCAATGGACAGCTTGCAGGTTGACTGAGCCGCAGGGGAGAGCAAAGGTGGTACACTGGGAAGCAGTCCTGGCCTCTTGGACCTTCCCCAGCCTGGAGCCTCCCTGAGTCCTGGTCATGAGAGCAGCTGGCTTGAATGGTTTATGTGTGCGTGTGTGCGTGCGTGCGTGTGCCCGCCCGTGCATATGCTTGCACAGAGGGGCATGAGAGCCTGTGCGGATGCTGCCTTAAGCCCCTTTGTCCCTGTTTAAGCCACTGGTTGTCTCCACAACTGACTGAAGCTGCACTCTGCTCCTTATCTGGGGACTTTGTGAATGGCGGAGAGCAAGGCCTGATCTCTCGGCCAGATCGAGCCACAGGAAAGGCAAAGGTCAGCCTTATTGAGGTGGAGGAGCCTTGCTCTGCTTTATACTTCAGGATCCTGCCATGGCATCTTGGACATCTTGCCTAGGCTGAACATGGGAGGTCCTCAGTAGGGATAGGAGGGAAGGCTGGAACTCCAAGTTTCCCAGCGGTTCTGCTAGCCTGGGCAAAAGTGGAGGCCACATCAGGGTAGGAGTGCGGGGGAGTGGGGAGATGGGCCAGGCTGGTCTGAGGTGGGCAGCTAGGGGTAATGAGGACGGCTTTGCATCGTACTCTGCAGTAAGCACCCTCTGTCTCCTCTAGGTGTTCTTCTGGACATCCAGCAGCACTTTGGGGTCAAGGACCGGGGTGCCGGCTTGCTGCAGTCAGGTGAGGCCTGTTCCTACCTCACTCTCTGCCCAGGGGTAGAGATGCTGCTCAGCCTTCAGACTCTTGGTCTATTCTGTCCTTGCATCAGAATGTGGGTGGACATTGCAGCAAAGTCCCGCTGTAGCTACTGTCCTTCTAAGCCTCAGCTTCTTGTAAAACAAAACACATGCATCTGCCCCAAGTGAGTATAAGAGAAAATGGAAAATATGGGGTTAGGGCCAAAGCCCACCACAGTGACCCTCCCTTTGGACTCTAAGACATCCCTGGTAGCCAGTGTCTTGCTTAGTTGTTAAAAGAGAGCTAGTGATGCCAGCTGAGGCTCCATGGCTGTTCCTGTCGCTGCTCCTCCTTCTACTCCTTCATTCTGATCCACTTAGGAGTCACCTCTTGAATGACAAGGGATGCCACCACCTGTCAGCTTCTGAGGAATGTGAGGTCGTGAGTCCCTGCTTCCCCTTCCTGGGACCTAAGCTCCTCTTCTGGGCTGTGGTGAACACAGCAGAGGCTGCCGAGAAAAATCACAGTCAGCTGTCTCAGCCTGTCAGCATCCCTTCTGGAGAGACCGTGTCTCCCTTATCCTTGCCTTACCCTTCAGGGCCCCATAGGGTCTGTACTCTTGGCTCCCTGGCCTCCCCACTGGCCTTGGCTAGACTACCATGACTTAAACTGGCTCTTGAAGGCCTGCTGGAGGTTCAGTCCAGTATGGGATCCCAGGATGTCTGGTCCTGACTGGGCTCCAAGCTCACTGTGTGGCTGCAGCTTGTCTCTGGGACCTTGGTCCTGGAGTTCATCTGGCTGTGAGCTCTAGGCAGGCTTGTGTGTAGGAGAGCTCTGGTTTGCATTCCAGCCCAGGAACCCTTCCCCAGCCTGGTTGTTCTGGGAGGGTGGGGGTGGAGGGAATCTGCCTTGGAACCTGCCTGACCTGTCTAGGTGGCATTCCATATGCACAAAGGCCTCTAGAGCTCACAGAATGACATGGCATGTAGCCCACAGCCCACGCCCTTCAGCGAGTACCCAGACCCTTGTCTCTGGGCAAAAATCCTGGATAGGGTCTTATGGCTTAGAGGCACCTATTTACTGGCTCTAAACCGTGAACTAAGTAGGGGCAAGGGTGTGTAGTCTCATGTCCCCATGGTGGTTAGGTCCCTACCCTAGCAGCTGTGAGCCCAAGACCTTCTTTCCCCTTCCTGACCTCTCTGGCTGGGTCCCTCTGTGCACAGTGATCACCCGGAGGAAGGGGTCCTGGCCAGTGGTACTATGGAAAGAGTGGACTACACAGCTTTCCTAGACCCTGGCCCACATGGTCCCTGAGTTTTCAGGAACCTGGTGAACCTCGTCCCTCTGGTCCTAGCTTTGCTGGTGATCTGGAGAGAAGCTGTACCCCAGCTTCCCTCATCAACTGCGCTGACTGTGTTCAGTCCTACCTGGCCTCTCAGGGACATGGAAGGGGGGGATCAGCCCCAAAGAATGTGGCAGGCCAAGCTCTGATCTCTTCAGCAGTACCTCCCAAGCTGGATGCTTGCTTTCTGAGAGGGCACGTGGCATGTGGTGCTGACTGAGCTCCAGGGACCAGGACGGAAGTAGACAGGCCCCTGCAAGTGTGGTCTCCTTGGATTCTTCCAGAATCCTAAAGGCTCCCTTTGCCAAGTTTACTTGCTGGTGAAGGAGGTGGTCAAGAGAGGGGAGCAACTTGCTGAGGTCTTGTTGCAGATGGACCCTGTCTCTGCAGGTTGCTGCCCTTGCGGTTTATAGACTTTGAATGTCTGGCGTCACAGTGTCCCCACAGTGGGAACCTCTGGGCCCTGAGAATTCCCAGCCTTCTCAGAGTCTTGTGCATCTTTGCCGTCATGGCATTGACCTGCTGTTTACTTGACACTGGATGGCTCCCCACAGTCCTCACCCTGTTGGACATTTGAGCTAAGAAGCTGGACAAGCTCAACCAGGATGTGACTCAGTGGGTACCACAGCAAGGCACCTAATTGGCCTATGCCCCAGGCACCTGTCTCTTCCCTGAGCCTGATAAGGTCAAAGCTGGTGGAGGGTGCCAGCAAGGTGTTGCTGCTTGCCCTGATCAAAGGGCCAGGGCTGAGAACAGCACCAGCTTATTTGTGGGCTCTAGGGGCTTTGGGGCTAGGAGGCATGTGAGGAAATAGAGGGTTTGGCTTGGGCCTGCCCTTTCTGTTGCCCCCTGGGAAGGTGTTCATCATCAGCATCCACTTGCACACTGCTGCTGGCTCAGCTTGGCGTCTGTGGCAGAGCACAGTAGAGCTCTAGCCATTGGGGGATCCCCATAGCCCACACTGAAAGGGGTAGCAGCTACTCAACCTGTTGCCTGGCATGCCCTGGGCTAGGTGTTACTCATGCTTAGACCCTGCCAGCAAGCAGGTCCCCTCTGTCAGGGGGAGTAGAAAATGCCACTCAGTTACCGCTCAGGCTCAGGATCCACTGTGGGAGGCTTGGTAGATGGCAGAGTGTGCGCCTAGCTGGAGCTGGTGGAAGATGGGAAGGGATTCCCTGAAGAGGGAACATTTCAGTGGCTTTTTCATGTATGGGAAAGGATATCTAGTTTGTCAGTAGATGTCAGAGCCCCAGCCCCACTCCCACCCCCACCCACCCACACCTTGCTCTCCAAGTGCCAAGAAATATGAAGAGAAAACCTGTTTAAATTTCATAGCTGTACTTGAAAGCTAAAGCTAACAGGGAATTCCCAGGTGCCAGAAGCAAAGAGCTGAAGTCAAAAGCTAGCCCAGGAGATGGAGCTGAAATCATGTGTTTTAGAGCACTCGGGGCAGGTCTATGTGCTGGGCATTTGGCAGTGTTTGTAATGACATTTTCTCAGAATTTCAAACATACTCAAAAGCTGGATAGCACAACAGGCTTCCCCCATGTACTAGTTCTCAGTTACATCAGTGCATTGCTGGGGGATTTTTTTACCTGAAGCTTAGGTCAGTGCTGCCTTGGGTTTCCAGGGACAAGAGGCTGACTCAATTTCTCCTCAGAACTCAGGCAAGCTCCCTGATCCCAAGTTTGGCCAGGCTGGCAGACAGTTTCTGTTTCAGGCATGTGTTTTCTGCCGGCCTCTGACTTTTCTGCAGAGTCTGGTGCCAGTGCCAGCACCCTTGGGCCTGCTACTTTTTCCATGTAAGCCATCTGTTTCCAGGGACCCCAGGAAAAGCAAACCCAAGTGGCTCTTTTAGGGAAACCTTCACCATCCAGAGCCAGCACGGACACAGGCAATTGCTCAGGCAACCTTACATTTAAAACGAACAATGCATACAGCAGGAAGGGTGTGTGATGTTGTGGTAGAATGGCCTCCAGGGCCAGGGCCTTGGATTCTGTTCCCAACACAAGGGATAAAAATAGAGGCCAGAGACAACTCATCTTTGTGAGAGGCAGGCATTTGGTCCTGGAAACAGCCTGAAGAACTACAGAGAATAGTCTTGTTTTTAATGACTTAAAAATAGTTATAACTAGCCAGGTATGGAAGCTCACACCTGAAATTTTAAGCATTTAAGAGAGATAGGCAGCAGGAGTTTTGGGCTAACCTGGGCTACAGAACACATTCTAGGATAGCCTGAGCTAGAGTGAGATCCTGTCTCAAAAAATCCCTAGGAATGCTTAGTCTGCAAAGCTCAAAGGAAGTTATTTGTTAATATATATGATATATATATATATATAGTAAAAAATGAACAGAGAACAGGAAGATGTTTAAAATTCCTGAAACTAATAGAAGTAAAAAAATTAAGTGTAGAATAAGGTGACAGTTAGATGACTTACTGAGTAAACTAGACCTAGCTGAAGAGGAAATAAACAGATTAGAAGGTGAATCTGAGGGAATTAGCGTCGGTGCGGGGAAGGGCAGTGAGTATGATGGCTGTTTGCGATGGTCTTTGTGACCTGTGGTTGGTCAGCCATGAGCTTCCACATGGGGAGAATGGAGGAAGGGGAGGCAGAAGAATCAGTAAGACATTCCTGTGAAGGGTGTGAAGGCTGGGCTAAGGGTCCTGGGTCTGTGTCTTGGAGCAATGGGGAGCCAGGAAGGGCTTAAGAGCAGGCGGGTCTGTGCAGTTTCACCCATACACTCACTCTGTTGCTCAGTGCACAAATGGATGGCATAAGAGGTTGGAGGCTGCTCAGGGCCTGAGTGTGTGGGGCCACAGGAAGTGCCAGGATGGGACAGGGATGGAGGAAGAGCTGGCTCAGAACAAAACCACACAATGTCTTTAGGCCTTGCTGCTTTCTCATCTTTATCAGCCCAGCAACCTGCTCCACTGGCTTCACAGACAAGCTGGGTAGCTGTACAGCCATCCTCCCAGGGGCCAAAAAACCCCACCCACCTCTGGCCAGAGAGGCCAGCACAGGCTTTCTGTCTGAAGTAGAGTATCAAGAGAGCAGTGGTGCTGTTCTTCCTTCCTGAGGGCTGAGTATGGAGGGACTCCATGTGTGTCCTGTATCTTCCTCATCCGCTGGGGTGGCCTGGGTTGGGCCTGGATGGCAGAGGCTGCCCACAGCTGTCTGAGCATCCTCCCTGCCCACAGAATGTAGAGGGTGGTATGTCTTCTTGAAATAGCAGCCAGATGGAATCTGGACTTGGAAAACATAACCCTGGTCCAGCAAGGCCAGGCAGGGGCAGGAGGTAGGCTCCAGGGCCACATGGTTCCTCTAGCCACCACCTTGCCAGCTCCTACTCTGCTGCTGCTTTCTGGGGTCAGGCAGGTGACCCTGCCTATGTGGTGGGGTAGGGCTACAGCTGTGGTTGCCTGTCAGCATTCAGAGCCCTGTGAGCTTTGCTCCCACCTTCTGAGCCCTGTGTCGGCCACAGGAGCTAGATGGCACCCTAGGCATGTCATTCAATGTGCCATCTGTCTTATTTTTCTTTTGTGGTGCTGGGAATCAAAGCCAGGGCCTGGCGCGTGCTAGGTCAGTGCTCTGGCACTGAGCTTCCTGAGCAGTTTTCATTTCACTTTGAAGCAAGGCCTTTGCTATGTAACTCAGGCTGG